GCAGGGATAGTTTTCCAGGCCACCAGTGACAGACCAACTGAGGTTTTCTGAAGGGTTTTATGTTACTTATCATTAAGTGGTTTTTGTTGCTTGTTGTTTAGTTGCTCAGTCTGTCCAATTCTTTGTGACCTCAGGGACTGTAGCCCTCCAGGCACCTCTGTCCATGGAGCGGGGTTGCCACTTCCTCCAGGGGATCTTCCCGACCCAGGGATGAAACCCGTGTCTCCTGCATTGGCAGGTGGATTCTTAACCACTGAGTCACCTAGGAAGCCCCATCATTAAGTTAGAGGGAAACAGATGCTGATGCTAATATTTGTCCTAAATGCAGCCTGGCTGTAGTCATAGCAGAGTTCATGGTGGTTTTGATAAAGGGCTGTGAATCCTTCTGTTACATGACATGTTCTCTTACCTGAAGCAGCCAGTCCTTAAAGAGGCATCTCCATCTCTCCAGGGTGTGTGTTTTATCCATTTTGTATTCTTGGAGAGTCTAGCCATTGTTTACCTTATAGAAGATAAATACAGACTGATGCTACACCATGCTGGGAATGTCTGCCTAGTCTCAGATCACCGAAAAAGAGTGTTTTCCCTCTTTGTCTTTTGTTCCCAGCTTAAAAGATCAGTTGCGTTTTTTCAGTTTTATTGAGGTATAACTGACAAATAAAATTATAAGATATTTAAAGTACATGGCATGATGATTGGATAAACGTATCCGTCGTGAGAGGAAGAACTGAATAGTTGTGCATATGATATTTGAAATGTATCCAGAATTTCTAAGATGTTTTTAATCATGACAATTTTGTAGATAGAATTGAGTACTAATAACAAAGTAGATTCAGAGCAAAAGAAATGCAGATCACTTTACATCAGTAATTTCAAACTCCAAGAAATAAAATGACTTTTAAATGAATAAAACAAAGATTACGTTTTTAAATAATAGGTTTTATTTTTAGAGCAGTTTTAGATACACAGCAAAATTAAGCACAAAGTATGTGGAGTTCTCATCTACCACCTGTACCCACATATGCACAGCCTCTCCCACCATTAACATCCCCCACCCAAGTGATACCTTACAACTGTGAACCTATATTGACACATCATTGTCACCCAAAGTCTGTAGTTTGCATTAGGCTTCACTCTCAGTCTTATACATTTTATGGGTTTTGACAAATGTATCATACAGAATATTTCACTGCTCTAACCATCCTTTTCCCTTTCTGTCCATCCTGTGATTCCTCTGTCCCTCCTCACCAATAGTAACCACTAATCTTTTTACTGTCCCTATACTGACTGATCTTTTTACTGTTTTGCCTCTTTCAGAATGCCATATAGTTGGAATCATATAGTATGTAGCCTTTCAGATTGGCTTCTTTCACTTAGTAATATGCATTTAAGGTTCCTCCATGTCTCTTTATGGGCTGATGGCTCATTTCTTTGGCGCTGAATAACATTCCATTGTCTGGATGTACCACAGTTTATCGGTTCACCTACTGAAGAACCTCTTGGTCACTTCCAAGTCTTGGCAATTACGAATAAAGCTGCTCTAAACATCCCTGTGCAGTAGCACCTCACACCCACTGCTATTGTGGACATGTTGGCTGCAAAAGTTTGGTCACATTGTTTTATATTTTAAGTGTATGTGTCCTTTAGAAATACAATATTTATCTTTATGGATTAAAAAATAACTCCTTTGCAAGTTTTTGTGTCCAATAAGTTTTCAACTCTTTGAGTAAACAGCTAGGAGTATAACTACTGGAATATATAGTAAGAAGATGTTTAGTTTTATAAGAAACTGCCAAACTGTCTTCCAAAGGGGTTGTACCATTTTGCACTCCCACCAGCAATGAATGAGAGTTTCTGTCATTCCTCATCCTGGCCTGCATTTGGTAATACCAATGTTTTAGAATGTTATTGTTCTAATAAGTATGTTATGGTATCTCACGGTTGTTTTAATTTGCAATTTTGTAATGATATATGATGTGGAACATTTTTTATATGCTTATTTGCGACCAGTGTATCTTGTTTTGGTGAGGTATCCCAATTTTTGTCTGTTTTTTTAATTGGATTATTTTATTATTTTAATTTTTAGGTTGTTTTTTGTATTTTTTAGATAACAGTCCTTTATCAGATGTGATCTTTACACATATTTTCTCCACGCCTATGGCATATCCTTTCATACATTGGACAGTGTCTTTCACAGAGCAGAAGTTTTTAATTTAATGAAATCCAATTTGTCAAGTATTTATTTCGTAGATTATGCCTTTGATGTTGTAGCTAGAAAATCATCACTAAACCTAAGGTCTTTTAGATATTCTCCTATGATATCTTCTGAAAGTGTTACAGTTTTGTGCTTACATTTAGATCTGTGATCCATTTTGAGTTAATTTATGTGATGGGCATAAGATCTGTGTCTAGACTGACTTTTTTTTGCATGTGGATGTACAGTTTTTTCAACGTTGTTTGTTGAAAACCTATCTCTTCTCCATTGTGTTGCCTTTACTCCTTTGTCAAAGATTAGTTAGCTATATTTGTGTGGGTCTATTTCTGGGCTCTTTATTCTATTCCACTGATGATTTGTCTCTTCTTTCACCACTATCATACTGTCTTGATTACTATAGCTTTATGGTGAGTCTAAAAGTTTGGTAGTGTCAATTCTCCAACGTTGTTCTTCTACTTCAGTATTGTGTTGGTTCATCTGCAAGCTTTTTTCAAAATATTGCAAATCTAGAAAAAATTTCCTATTTGTTTTTTCATTTGGCTCCATCAGATCTTAGTTACAGCATGGAGGATCTTTAGTTGCAACATGTGGGATCTCATTCCCTAACCAGGGATCAAACCCGGGCCCCCTGCATTGGGAACATGGAGTCTTAGCCTCTGGACCACCAGGAAAGGCCCTCCAGTATATTTATTGAAAAAGAAAATGTGTGTTTGAATTAACCCACACTGTTCAAACCTATGTTGCCCAAAGGTCAACTGTACATAATGCACCTCAGATAACACTTTTAGCTGTTAGGTAGAGACCTTAACACATTTGGAACTGGCCATCAGGTACAGGAGCAAAGGACCTGAGGAAAGATAGCTTCAGACTAGGTGATCAGCTTCTAGTCTATAACTGCCTGTCATAGTTGACACTGATGAATGTCTAATAAGTGGGTAAACTGGAGATGGCTGACTTTAAGTAAATATTGCAATAAGAAGCTGACAAAAAGAACTAGTTTCAATGTGAGGCATTAGTGAAACCAGTTTAACAGGTTGTCTGTCTCCTGCCTCTAAGTAAAAGATGAGAAGGGTCTGAGTACGACCAAGAAGAGGCAAAATTCACAGACATTGTGGTGGTCTAATTAACAGGAAAATGACTCTGTTATCTAGCTTGGGTGACTTACTGGTGATGCTGTTAATCAGGACAAGACTTTAAACAGGAAAAACAGGGTTTGAAGAGAATACAGTGAGTTCAGTTTTCATAGGTGAGTTTCATAGGTGAGTGAAGGGCCAGGAGGACCCCACAGATGAATGAGACTAGTGAGTAGCTGACAAATGTAGTTCTGGAGCTCAGGTGGGGTGTCCAGGCTAGAGAAAGAAGATAACCGTCATCAGAATCTAGTTTAAGAGCTGATATCTCTTTATTCCTATGCAGAGTAAAAAGAACCCAGATGATGTGGTGGATGTTACAGTCAAACACATGATAAAGGGTTAGCTTTGAAAAAGAGTACAAACATCTTGGGCTTCCCTGGTGGTACAGTGGCTAAGACTCCATGCTCCCAATGCTGGGAACCTGAATTCAATCCCTAGTCAGGGAACTAGATCCCTCATGCTATGACTGAGTTTGCATGACATACAGTCAAATAAATAAAGAAAAATATTTTTTTAAAAAGAATATGAACATTTCTTATGATGAAGGAAAGAAATGTTAAAAGAATTAATGACTTAAGCTGTATTTTCTCACTGGCAATGGTCTGTTGAGGAATTGTGATATTTTTCATGATCTGAAAATGAATTCCAACAGAGGGAAAAAATGAAATAAATGCTGGTTAGCAATTTGAGGAGCCCAGCTGAGGGAGAATTTCAAAATATAAGCATTGCTATGTACTAGTCATCACAGACCGCTAGAACAAAATACCACAGACTGGGTGTCTAAACAACAGAAGTTTATTTTCTCACAGTTCTGGAGGCTGGGAAGTCCAAGATCAAGGTGCCAGTGAGGTTTGGTTTCTGGTGAGGACTCTCTTCCTAGCTTGCAGACAACCACCTTCTTGCTGTGTCCTCCCATGGCTGATTGAGAGAGAGGGAGGGAGTATTCTGCTGTCTCATCCTTTGTTTAGTCACCAAGTCGTGTCTGACTTTTTGCAACCCCATGGACTGAAGCATGCCAGGCTTCCCTGTCCCTCACCATCTCCCGGAGTTTGCCCAAGTTCATGTCCATTGAATCAGTCTCTTCCTTTAAATACATTAATTTTATTGGATTAAGGCTCTACCTATGACTTCATTTAACCTTAATCACTTCTTATTCCAAATACAATCACATTGGGGTTTAGGGCTTCAAACTGTGAGTTTGGGGAGGACACAATTCAGTTCGTGGCATATATAATTCAGCACTATAATGTGAGTTCTTTTCCCATTTATACACAAGAGCAGGAGAGAAGAGAGATGATTGAGTTGATCCAAATTTGCGGATTAGCAGGATAGACTGGAGAGAAGGTCAAAGTGGCAGATGAAATGAGGGGCTGGTGAAAATATGGCTTAAAATTACTTCCCATGGGTTCCAAGAATGATGGAAAGGGAAGCAGCAAGGATTGGTAAGCTTCATGGAAGGTCCTCTCAGGTCTGGAGGCTGGAGAACAAAAGGGAACCCTTTATCATGCACCATCTCTGGGTAGAGTCCTTTCTTGGGATGTGATTGGTTGTTTCTGCACTTTCAACTTCACTGGCAACCAATGAGAATCATCAAACTGGAAAGATTTAGGTTCATTAGTGATAGCAATGATCACATTTTTCTTTCTTTTTAGACGACTAAATACATTGAACAAGTGTGCCTCAATGAAACTTGATGTGAACTTCCAAAGGAAAAAGGTAGGTATACCTTACTACACCTTACTAAGACCATGTCTGTACCAGCAGGACAAGCTGCATTCACAGATTAAAAACAACATGAACCTAACCAAAATTCTGAAATGACTGACCATCTATGTGTTTATTCTCCAAATATCTCATCTTATCATAGCATCATGAGTAAGCCTGATAGGAACCTAGGCTAACATCTGTTTCACTTTGCTTTAGTTTTGATCAGAGGGTTTGCATGCAAACATAAAATGCCTTGTTTGTGATCATCTTTCAGAAGTTTGTTTAGCTGTAAATATCCACTCCATATTAGACTCAAGTTCTCCAGTGATTTGTAGATTAAGAGAATGAAGAACAGAATCTATGGGGCGGGTCATGCCAGGTGTCTTCTGCTTCATTATTTCCTATAGCATTTTATTTCAAGTGCAGTTCAGGATGTGTTCATTGTCAGGCTGGTTCATTTCATCGTGGTTGAGCGGGTGGAGGGAGAGGGTAACAACAGGATTCAGAACTCACCCCGTCTCTCCATTCTCACCCCTTACCCTTTTCTCTAGTCACAGGGGACATCCTTCAGTTTCCTGAGTCACTACACTTCCTCTTTCTTATAGGACTTTGCAGGCATTTTTCTCTCTGTAGGTGTAAGGCTGGCAATTTCAGTTCTGAAACAAAGCTATACTTTATTGAGCACTTACTGTTTTCCACAAGCTATGTTATGGCATTTCATGCATTGTGGCAGAGGGTCTCTGTTTTCTAGAGAAGGAAAATAAAACCTGAACTGGCTAAGTCCCTTGCCTGTGATCTATTAGATGGTGGAGGAGCAGGGTTTCAACTTCAGGTGTGTCTGACTCCAAAACTGAGGCCCATAACCACTGTGCTGAAAGACCTCTCTTTCTCACTGAATTGATCCTTTTAGGAAACTCAGAATTAAAATCGTTAGCTACTTTTTTCATTTCACATCTTCAGTATATAACAAGTCAAGCCTCACTATATTTTGAAGAAGCAGAGAAAACATCCCTGAGTTGTAAGAAAGTGTTCTTTATTCTGGCCTACACAGAGAAGTCATTACAACCCATGGATTTTAAGTCACTCCCGAGTAACCAAATCTTTAAAAATAACTTTAGCCTGACTTTCTGCTCTAAAATAGCACCCAAAAAGAAGCGCAAATGAATTTTGGTTGACCTCACCTTCAAAACAATTTGGAGTTTGAGCTAGGAACCAAAGATTCAAGCTAAGGAGGTAAAATAGTGAAAAACAATATCCAGAGAATATATTAAAACATGGGCAATTTGTCCGGGTCAAAGAAAAATGAAAAATGTGGGAATAAACGTCCCAACAGCTGTCTGGCTGAATAGAGCCCTTGAGAAGTACATACACTGAAGCAGGAAGGTCAGATGTTGTTTTGGTTGTAACACATGGTTCTTATTAAACCACGCGCAGCCACGCCTGTGTGGCTGGTCTGCCCGGCTGCCAGTGCAGATCCTTAGCTGCTATGTATCACAAACACAAATGCCAAAAACTAACAGCATGATTTGTTTTCAACCAAGTGGTATGATTGAATTCTTCCCTTATCACCAGCATTTCAAAACCCACACGTGGGACAGGCTTGAATAACATGCATTAGGCCGTGTCACCTTCACAGAAGCTCCTCTGTAAATTGGTCCCTTCGGCATTCTGACGTTCTTAATTCATGCCTACGTTGGCTATGGTGGTATATACCCTCACAGTCCCTACTTAGCTGTGGGCCCCACGGATGCAGGCACTTGGATAAAACAGGGCTTTCCACATTGTAATGTAGGGACTCGTGGCCTGAATTTTGAAATAAATAAATCCAGTGAGTGGTCTCCACCCACTCGTGAATCTTAGTCGTGACACGCATTGGAGGCTGTGGTCTAAGCAACTACATAGGAGACCCTGGTGGTGGCACATGTCCCTGTGATCTGCTCCTTACACAAAGTCACAGACCAGTCCTTTGTTGTTGCTCAGTCTCTCAGTTGTGTCCGACTCTCCATGGCACCATGGACTGCAGCACACCAGGCTTCCGTGTCCTTCACTATCTCCCGGAGTTTGCTCAAACCCACATCCATTGAGTCAGTGATAGCATCCAATCAACTCAACCTCGGTCACCCCCTTCTCCTTTTGCCTTCAGTTTTTCCCAGCGTCAGGGTCTTTTTCCAATGAGTTGGCTCTTGCATCAAGTAGCCAGAGTACTGGAGCTTCAGCCAATCTTTTATTTTACTGCAAAAAAACACTAAATGCAGACTAGGACCAGGCTAAATGATCAAAAGCAGAAAGTGAAACTTGAGAGCCAAGCACCACAGGAGCTTCAACCAACTGTGGAATTAGTTTGTTTGGCAGAAGGGAAAAAAAGACAGTAGCGTTTCCTCTGGGTTTGTCCCTATTTTAATCAATCCAAGAAACAGAAACACAATGCTCACCTCTAATCTGCAGAGGCCCAGACATGTTAAATTCCCCAGAATGTCATCCCCAAATGGCTTCACCACCTGGGAACATGGTCATGCTTCTCCCTCCAGGGCCCCAGAAGGCTGTGTGTGCTTCTTAGAACTCTGTGGTGTGGTGAGCAGGTGCCATACCCAGTACCGCTGCTCATCACTAACCGCACATCACAGATGCAGAGATTGAAGGACAGGGAAGCCGAGTAACTTGCCCAGAGCCACTCAGAAACGGCACAGTCAGGATCTGAACCCAGCTGTTCTGCCCCTCCTGGCCCTTGAGAGAGATTCAGAAATGTATTGTCATGAGCTTCTGGCCCTCCGCCTGAGACCCAGAAGGGCTTCCTCAGCAATATATACAATTAGGTATTTTTATTGTTGTTTTAGAAGAGGGATATTTCTTGCTTTTTGTACTCAAGTCCACAATTTATTTAATGTCTTCATGGAAATTTACCTTTGGATCTCTCGTGGTTAAAAGAGCCATGAATTTCATTGCTCTGCTTTGAATTTGGTTCTCACCTGATTTTGTTTAATTCTGAAGAATTTTGTGGGTTGACCCAAGATAGGGGGGAAAAAAAACAAAACAAAATCCACAAATAGATGACAGTGGTGAAGCCTCATTCATACTTACTTAGGCATGCACTTTCCTTGTACATCAAATGCCACTCACTTGTAAAGCACCAGGACAACTGAAATCGCACCTTGCCACTTTGCAGAAGAGAAAAGCAGCCCTCTAAAGATTCAAGATTACTTTCCCCATGAGAAGCAGGTAGAGTGTCCTCAATCTTGGCCATGCATCTCACTGAAAGACTTACTAAACCCCTGCATTTCTGAGAGCCTGAGGACCCAGCCATTGCCCACCTCTGGCCTCAGGCTCCTCCTCTTGCAATGCTGCAAGTGGCAGGGCCATGCTTCTGAACAGGAGGGCTCAGACACTCAGCTCCAGTCAACTTTAATGGGAGATACATGTCTAAATTTCCATGTACTTGTGGAGTAGCCACCTCTTACATCTGTGGGCTCGTATGGGCTCCTGTTTCCAGTGTCTGTTTTTGGCATTTGTCTCTGAAGCATATATAATTTCAGCTACGAATGTTCTCACTTTTTTAGAAAAAGCCAAAAGAAGTTTGAAGTTTCCTCTAAATTAAAAACACCAAGGCACATGCAAAGCTACTCTTTCTCAGAAAACGGTTTCTTCATTATGACCTACAGAATTCATACTTGCTTTATGATGACACTGAAATCCTCTCATTACAGTCAGTGTTAGTGTGATGTGGGTTCTATTCAAAGTTAAAGTCAGAGACTGAAGACTCCAATAAGGATCTCTGTTAAATGAGGAAAGAGTGAGATGCATACACAGGACTCCTACCTAATATTTCCTGAGGGAAGACAAGCGGCTTCAAAAGAAGGTCCTGGTTAAAGTCATAGTTTTAATAAAGTTCTCTGAAATCATGACCCCAAGGTGGAAAGCAACACAGAAACCATGACTAATTGCCACGTTGCAGCCAGCACCTCCTGGCCTGGATGCCGTAGGCATTTCAGAGGAGCTGCAGCTGTTGTCAGGGGGGCTGGTCTGAGCCTCTGCCTGCACCCTCCCCCCCATTGCCTTTCATAACCTCAAATGTCCCACCAAATAAGACACCACCTGGCAGCTCCAAACAGCAGAGTCAAATGAGAGAAGTTATATTTCATTCCATCATGCCCTTGGCTGGAGAGTAGTACATCTTACATTGAAGAGTGTTATATGTGAATATCCTCGAACCTGGATCTTTGAGTGAGAGGAGCTCTTCTCTCATCTTTTCCAACCTCTTATGCAGCACAGGATTTACTTTCAGAGCATCCAACAATTCACTCAGCCTCTGTTTATAAGCATCTAGACTTGAGTTCATTAAAATGCAAGGCAATTTATTTTTTCCTAAGCACTGGAAGTCTTCCATATAATAAGCTAAAAGTTGACTTGATGTAAACGTGCCCGTCTGATTCCAGCTCTTCTCTCTGGAGAGACACAGAATACGGATTTCTTCTTTGTCTAGACCACAGCTCAGCAAGCTACTGCTCCTGCTTTGGTAAAGAAAGTTGTACTGGAATAAAGCCACACCCATTCTTTTGGCTGCAAAGGCAGAGTTGAGTAGTTGTAATGTTCTAATATTTACTATCTGGCCCTTTACAGAAACTTTTCTAACCTCTGTTCAATCTAGAACAAAGTTTCTTAAACTGTCTACAGTGAATGATCAATTTTTTAAAAAATTCCCAGCCTGCCACTGACCAAGATACTTTTGTAAAATTCATTACAAAACAATTATTAGAAACATGAATGATATTAGAAATATGAATGATACAATCATTAGATAATCTCTAATGATTGTACTAGAGAAAATACAAGACTAAATGTTTTATTAGACTTTGAAGATACAAAATTGCATTCCAATAAATATAACTGAAACAAATATAACAGGAAACAGAAAAGAATTACAAAAATTGTTCATATTTTTACTAAAAGTGTACACTTAGGCAATTAATATGAAGAATCATGATTGCATTTGCAACTTTTTTTCTGTTGTTCAG